GTGTGGGGCCATCGCCTGCACGCCAAGCAGTCTCAAAAGAACGTTCTAGGCAACCGTGAAACGTCGGGACTGAGGATCCCTTGACCACCTGAACGCACTGGTGCCTTCGCAGATATGCTGCCCTGTTTCAGACTGTTCAAAGCTTCCTCGTGGCCCTGCCTGGTCCCCTTCCGCCCTCCGAGGAGATGCCCTTCTGGACGGCTTGGAGCAACGGTTGAAGCTGAGGGTTAACTTGATAGCAGGCTACAGCCGTTGCAAAGGCCAGATTAGGACTCGATAGAAACCTGCTTCGTGCTGCCTTACACCCTCTTTTACACTCCTGCTTCTTATGTCCGAAGAAACCCTGCAGAAGCTGCGACCTGGCGCTCTTCGCTGGGCCAGTCGATCCTTGAGCTCTGCACGTCGGGGCTCTGCGGGTGCTACGTACAGGCTTTAGGGTGTTCTGGGTTTAGTACACTAGGGGCTTCTTTCTGCGTGTACTACGACTACTACGACGCCTCCATAAACGGCCTGCCAAAGAATGCAAAGAAATTGAAAAGAAGCCAGCCAGCTCGGGTGGCTTCATGGTTCCCGATTGATGTGGGACGCCTCTTAAAGAGTGCTGCAGCTCGCTCACGGCGTGAAGGGGTATTGGCTTGCTGCCCAAGAACTTCACGACACGGTCGCCCGTATCGACGTCGCGCTCCCAAGCTTTACGAAGGTCTCTTGGTCTTTTCACTCGTGCAGTTCGTTGACCTTCAGCATGCTACCCTTGCCACGTCCCACTGCAGTGTGCTGGTTCTGCGTCAGAAAGTCTTGTGCTTCATCATTCGCGTTGGGTCCTCCGGCCAGTCCGCGCTTGCACTCGGGCTGCACGGCCTGGTTGTTCTCCTTCCACTGGTCCACTGGTTCGTCCGGTTGTTCTCCGTCTGCTCGGTCTTGTTGGTCGTTGTTGGCTTGTAGGAGGAACATGCTCTGTAAGTGCTGTTGTCAGGGTCCCGACGTGGTTCCCCTTCACGTCGAGGAGGCAGCTCTGGCATAGCATCTAGGCGGACCAGCTTCCCCCCCGCTTTCTAGCACAACGTTCACTGTGGCCCATCTGTCTGTTGACGGCATGGGGAAGTGCAGACGGAATCCTCGCTTGTCTTGACATCTATGAAGCGAGAAAGCCTTGTTTGAGACGCTCCTGCGATGCCCTCTCCTTATCCTTCACTGGCTCGCTGTCTGGTTTGTACTTCTCCGCGCTGGGCACGATACGGGACTGTTCTTCGAACTTAGTTGCAGCTTCCTGCCGGTCTTCCCCATCCGCCGATTGTGCCGAAGGTGTTCGGGATATTCACAATGGTCGATCACCTGTTGCTACTGTATACTCCATGAAGTTGCATGCTCCCCCCGCCGCCGGCGCGCCACTCACAGCCAAGATCTCTCGGTCTCGCCCTCACTCTCACTCACGCACTGCCAGGCTTTCTCTGTCTCTCTCTCTCTCTCTCTCGCTTGCCGTGTTGGGCTTTGGGGCGTCCAGGCGACCCTCAATCCTTCGGCCCACCCATCCAACCCCTGGAGTGCACAGATTTGGGGTGTCGATGGGCTCGGCAACTGCAAGGTTGTCTCCGAGAGTCTAAACTAAACACAACACGAGCAGATGTGAAAACAAGAACTGAGACGGGGTCTCAACGGCATCGCCTCTGGTGCCTCCAGCTGGCATACACAAAAAGACGGGATCTGACAACTATCGAGCCTCGAGCAAGATGCCTAAGAAAGCTATTGCAAACACTTCCCCGTTCTTTCCACAGCACCTGCCTTGAACCACTGGATAGCTTCTGCGCATTTGTCCTGCAGGCTACAAGCACGTTCACATGCAAGCTGCGTTTCGTCGCAGCATCATGCCACCACACATCGGCGTGGAAGATCATGTGCATCGGGACCCGGATCTGGGGTGCCCACTGCTGGTGCCGATGCTTCTGACCTCGTTGGGCTCGGAGACCTGCTGTCTCGGCAGATTGCAGTCCTCTGCTTCGGATGTCTGCCCTACTCGGCTCTTCTTTGCCGAACCGGATCGGATCCGAACCCGTCACCTGCGTCCATCCTAGGTCCTAGAACCCTGTGAAAAGAATTCTCGACCCTGTTCCGGGCTTGGCATGCCCTGGCTTGCGGCGCGTGGGCTCATCTGACCGATTCTTTCTGGTCGTGCGCTCACGATCAGCGCGCGCATACACACACACGAATGCAAAGTCAAAGCACCTTCATTATCAAGTGCTATCACGAGCTAACTTCTCACATGGATGGCCGCAAATCAGAATCTGACCAAGCAACGGCTTAAACAGACAATAGCCCTACACAATTTCTGGATATGGTTGTAGGGGTCCAGGGTTAGCCCTGCACGCCTTGTCGGGCTAGCTCGACCCCCATTGAAGTGCGCATGGGTCGTAGACTCCGGGGTGGCGGTGCTCTCGGAGTCTCCTGACAGTGGCTCTGGCAACTCATTACTCAGAGGCTCCACTAGCCAGAACGGAGAAGCTCTCTGTTTTGCTAGGCCGAGCAATGCTCGACGCAACAGGCGCCTCGCCAGAATGGGCAAGTGAACAGCAGCGGCTTGGTTGGCTCCTATCCACATTCAGCACCACGTGTGAAGCAGCAGTGAATGCGCTCGGAAGCGGATGAAGCAATGCTATCAATTCACAAGCAGAGACGCCTACAACATAATTGAGACGCCAGCCCTGCGGTGCCTTTGCGGCCTTTCCAGCTGCATCCCAGGCTGGCGCATCGGGCGATCTGCCGCAAGCGAAGACCCTGAACTGAAACCTTCCGCACCCGTCCGTAGAATGTCGGAAAAACCAAGTGTGCGATCGTTCACATGACCAAACTGCGGCTCGTTCGAGCGACATCTCATGTTTTCTGCTTGATTCTTCCCGTATTGGCCAACTACAGCTACAGCAGCAGTACAAAGTCAACATTGATAAGAGTAAAACGAAGCTGTTGAACCTCGCCGATGCTCTAGCCATCTGTGCTCTCGGACAGGGAGTCAGCAATGAAAGGTCCAGGAGTCTAGGAGGTGAGATGGTCGGGTGCGACCGCCCTGAACCCCTGCAGGAGCAGGAAAGGCAGCCTTAGAAAGCACCGTTCAAAAGGAAGAGACATGTTGCTTCTTCTTCTTCTTGGGAGACAGGCCCCGCAATTCATCTGGACCGGACTCCTTCCGCTTGTGCGGATGAGGCTTCTGAGCGCAGATGTTCAAGGGCAGCAACGCTGGCGGGGACCGAGAAGACCATGAGACCACGACCCAAACAAAAGAGGGTGACTTCTTCCAGCGAAGGCACGTTTCAGGCGCTTTTCTGAACCTTGCCCGGTGCCTGAAAAGGGGGGGAGTTGAGGCTCCCCTTGCACTGCCTGGCCTGCCACGACGGATGCCAGTGTCGCGCACGCTGCCTGGCATACACAAGCAAGGCCCAAGGCCCAAGGGCAGCCCCTCTTGCGGCTTCGAAGAGGCCCCTCGGCCTCCCGCAAGGTGGAGGCCGCCGCAGGGGAAGGGAGCGGGAGCGGGCCGGCCAGCACGGCCTAGCAGTCAGCGAGTGACGGCGGGACGGTGTGTCCAGGAGTCCCGCAAACTCTGCGTTCCCTGTCCTTCCATGCTCCCGCTTGAAAGCCGGGTGCGCTGTTCATGTAGCTCCTTCGTGCGGCTACGGCTGCAGCTCAGAGAAGCTCAAATGCGAGGACTTGACAAGCAAGCTGAAGTTTCACAGGTCATACCGGCACGGAATCCCTGCAAAGCAGGAGCCTTCTCGTAGTTGAGGAGCCATGGTGCCCAGAGATCAGACCTTAACACTTCCCTCAACACTTACTCAATACAGAAGCCTGGCCCGAGCCTGTTCCGCTGGGGCTGCGGCGCTTTGTGCATGCTGCCGGCCCGCCCTTGGCACGCAACACAGGCCCTCCCTCGTGCAGTCTAGTACTAGCTAGTACTTGCCAAGACCGAAGACGGGACATCGCCCGGAATGACTTCTCACGACCGGGCGTCTTGTCTGCAAACTCACTCGACGGCTGTTATATAGGGGATTCTTCATGTTTTGTGTTGCAAACTGTTGGCGATCTTCTTCATCACCCTACTGTGAACAGGCGGCTTGTGGCCAATTGCATGCATTGAACCTCAGACACAAGCTACGTCGCTGCTGGCGCGGCTTCTGCCATGACACTGTGCTCTCTTCACTGTTGGACGACGGTGCATGTCGCTGATGAGTCCAGATGGCGCTATGAGCTTTGAGATGCACATCGAAGCTACCGGCTTCTACCCTACCCCGCCAAGGCCCACGCTTGAGTGCGGGGTCTCGGCACCTCTGCAACTCCCGACAACCAGAAGAGACCTCTCACTTCTCAGCCACTTAGCCCACTGCGCGCTGCAGAAGGGAACTCGTCCTCTGGAGGCACCGAGACAAGCCCACAGCTGAAGGCATGCTACTGCTAGAGGAACGCGAGCACGAATCTGGTCCTGTGTGCGGCACGGTGACAACACTGCAGCCATTCGTGATGAGCTTCTGTGGGTGGCCTGAGCCGCTGCGGGTCTAGATCATGCTCATCAATCCAGCGCTCTTTGTTCGCACTATGTGTAGCACCATGTACCGGCAAGATAGCTGTCTAGCACACCATATCAGCGAAGCGAGTGCCTTTCCAGGCTAAACTCAAACACCACATGTCAAAGCCATCTGGCAGGACCGGTTTTGCAGGACGGTCATCACAGCGGACACGATTTTGCGGCACTCGACGAGCCCATCGTCGTACATGGGATTCTGAAAAGTTGTTCGCGACTTCGAGAAGATCGCGGAAGTTGCTCAAGGGCAAAACACTTGTGCCCACTCAAAACGGAGGGCACAGCTGGCTGGCACCAACAACTAACATGCCCTACTCCCCCTCACCGTGCTGCCACTGGCTCTTCCACAAACGTCCTACTGTAAATCCTGCTGTATTGTCAAACCAGCCTTGATTCAACAGCTTTAGGAAGGATCCCTTGCATGGGCACAGCGTGAAACTCAAAGCTCTCGCTTCTTCATGCGGCGGGCAATGTCGATCGTCGCCTGCAACACACGTTCTCGACAGCAATGCCCTGAGAATCAGAATCCGCAATAAGCTCCATACTCCTCTGGTGACACGTCGGTTCTTAGGAAAGCTTGTGCGAACGAAACGAGAGCTGCCACCGACCCACAAGAGCACACATAGCAAAAGAACTGCAGGCCCTTGGACACCCCGACATTCCCTGTCTTGAATATGAAACCTGCCACTTTCGGCCGCAGCGGCCCACATGCAGCACAGGAAAGAAAGATTATGCCTCCTGCTCCTGAACCAACATCGGTTTTTCGATCCTTTTCGCCACTGCACAGATTGACTAATGTCCAAACCCCTCCATGAGTGAGCAATTCGGCTCGGCCCGGGCCGAAGCGATCAGAGGTTCCTGATTTTTGTTCCGAGAACATCCTTCTGATCCTCTTAATCCCCTTCACGGTCGGCGTGGCGGGGTGAACCGCACCTGATTGTCTCAAAAATCCGAGAAAACTACGCTTTTCGGTGAAGTCCCATCCAGCCTCCATCTTCCGCAGTCCCGGAGTGTCTCCACCCAGCACTCTCTTGACATAAGCAACTCGAGCTTTTGCCGCCGCAGCCTCACGTGAGCTTGGCCGAAGGAGTGCGCAAGTCCTGTATATATTTACTATCTATTCTTTTTGTGTATATACAGATACGCATGTATATACTATGAAATATATGTCACACCGGGGCACTGCTTCGTCAAACTCTCCACGCCAAAGATGCGCTTCCTGATCCGATGGTTGACGAAAAATCATGGGGCACAAAGGTCCGGAGTGATTCTAAGACCCATAATGCCTGCCACTTCAGCATCCCAGCGAAGCTTGCCATTTGTGCCCAGAGTCTGCAGCAAGTGCTGCAATGCTGGATCCGATCCAGTGGGTCTGAGTGAATCACCGCAATCAGCATGGTTCTAAATCTCAACCAACTCGGTGCTGCTGCTCTGAAACGTAGCGGCGCCGGCAAACTCTGGCGAAACTGTCGCACCCATCAATCTGTGCTGCCAAGTCTCATCCAGGCCGGGCGAGGGAGGTGGCGAATCACGCAAGGTGCGGTGCAGCGAAATCAGGTCCTCTGTGTGCCGAATCGTGGGACTGCTGCCGTGATAGCACTAATTACTAATGTCACTTATGGTCATACCGTTGCCCAAACATGCGGATGCCGAAAAGGATCCGAAAAGCATACAAACGGTATCGTAGGATTCGACAGTTCTCGCCTCGTGGATTGCCAAGTCTTGCAGGACCAACTCGAGAAACACTGCGAATTCCGAGCGATTTGAGAGGATGCAGTAGTGAATTGTTTCTGATGGTGACAGAACAGTCGCCGCACTCCTAGCTCTGACGCCAAAACTGGACGACTGCTTTTTGGAACGGTGCAGCACGGACAACAGCATCGTCTGGGAACATGTGTCGCCAGATCTTTCGCAGATTGAAGGCCAGGTTCTGGTTTTGGCTGCTGGGGTTGCGAGGATGGGATGCTGCCCCAGGGCACTATAAGACTCACAGCCTGCCATAAATTGTACTCCTTTCCTCTCAATGCGAATAGAGAGAGCAGGCCAAAGAAAAGATAGGATCTGCCCGGACCCTCGGCGCCAAGGGGCACTCATCCAATTCGCCCCCTTGCGCTCGACCGGGCCGTCGCAGCCGCGCTGAAACTGAAGTGAGGCCAACTCCGCCTGCTTGGGAAAAGAATCCATCCACCTCTGTCTTCTCGAAAGTGACACGAAGCTGCAGCTGAGCTCAGCAGAATGCTTTTTGCAAGTATGCTACCAAGCAAGCCTTCGTCAGATGGTTATGCTCGGTGCATGGTGATGCTGGACAGCATGGGCGCGCCTCAACTCGAAGTGGTTCCATCGCCTCAGAGTTTTAACATGCCGAAAAAGCTGTGCTTCCCGGATGAAAGCGAAGCTCAGGGTTGGCTGATTGGCCCGAGCTGCATTGTATCGCAACCACAACCGACTCAGGCATTGCCGCAGCTCCTGCGAATCAGACAGTACCAGTCGCGGAGAACCCCAGATTAGTCCCGTCCTTGTCATCCATGTGCCCACCGCAATTATCACAAGCTTGCCAGGCGCCATCTGCAGAGGCCCACTGAATCCCCCGACCTGACCGGACAGGCCCCCCGGCTTCTGATCCTCTCTATGAGCAATGCAGCATCTGGCTATCGTTTCTAAACTTCCGGCCACAGAGAGAGCAGCGATGCCCGCGTGTGTCATCGATGCCAACGCAGCGCTCGCAATGGCAGTGGAACTGCCAAGGGCGATAAAGAGCGCTGCGCCTCTTTGACTCGCAACCCGAACACAGCATTGCTGCATGATGCCTACAACTGGGGGCGCCTCTGTAGAACTGGCAAGAGGAGGCTGTTTTCAGAAATGTAGGAGACGGTGACCTCCTTGCCACCACGGGCTCAGCTGGATCAGGCAACTCCCAAAGACAAGGCCTAGCTGCTAACTCGAGCATTGCAGTCGTCCTCGCCGGCCTTGATTTTTCGAACGGCCACCAAGCTGCACATTCCATCCTTGCAGGCAAACCAACTAACAGGACTGCCTACCTTCCAGCCTCCAACCATGCAACATCATGACTTGCCAGTGTCCTCGCCAAGGACGAAGGCACATGTTGGCCGACACGAATGGTTTGCTCGACTGATGGTCAAAAAAACGCCAGCACCGGGGCCTGTGAAGGCGGGGATTGCGGCTTGCTGGGACACTGTGACACTGAGGCCTTCAATGGCTCTAGGCGCCCCCGCCTCTGAGCTTGACACTGTTCACCTTCCTCAGTGCACATGCGACTGGACCTCGCAACAACAGCGAATCACTGCAGTCCAGGATCAAAATTCCAAGCAATCGACGCTGCTCTTCGGAAGACAGCAGATACCTCAGCTCACGCTTTGCAGGCACTCGCCCTTCATCGCAGTTCCCGTGCTTGTCTTCTCCCTTGAGCAGGAGCCACGTCACCCCGGCGACTCTTCAAGAGCTTCGACAGAAGGCTCTGGGCAGTAGAGGCCTGACAGGTGCAGACCCAGACAAGATGGAGAGATTTTTTCAAGCAGCGTCTGTGCAAAGTCCAAGGATCCCCAGATGGCATCTTGGACTTCTTCGGGTAGCTGAAGGAACTGCTCCCAAATCAAGGCAGCACCTCCAGGACACCACATGCCAGGCAACTGCAAAGCTTCAAAATGGGCTTGGGTCGAGAGTGCTTAACTTCCGCACGGGCTGCCTTGCTCTGAGACGGTTCCGCCCATGTCGTGCGTAAAGGATGCTTTCTCCCTCAGGGCGGAAAGGGGTTTCATGCCGCAAGGACTGAGATCATGCCGTCGAAGTATCTCTTTCCTGCCTACTTGTAGAGACAATGTAAGCGAACTTCGGCTATGGACAGCGCCCTGTTACGGCTCTTGCGAAAACGAGAATGGGATTGCGGGAGGAGCATCATCATGACTCCTTTCGATAAGCCTAGATTTTCAGCAAGCTGTCCTGATCACGCAATCGCCGGCGTCAGCATCCTGGCAGAGATGGAGCAGTCGATCCCTCATTTAACCACATGCCAAGAGTTCTGGCATCGCACAACCACAAGCTTCCCCACGCCGACCTTGTGTACATATAGAACTGCTTCCGGCAGCCGAGTACTTAAATAAGGACTGATACCGTGACACAAGACGTGTGCAACAAAACAGTGCTCCACCTCGGCGGCAAGGAGGCAGCGCCCTCGCCCGTCGTGGGTCGATCCTTGTCCCATCTCCTACTCTGCATCATATTGCGTAGTGTCTACATTATTCAGGAGGCTTTGTGCTGCCCTGAACAGACCGTCAGTCATCAAGCCGAGTTTCCCACTGCCACCTTCAGCAGCACGCTTGTCTCCTGCAAGTGATGTAGGCATGAGGCGTATCCAGGTGGAGAGCTCAAGACGTTTGTGGCAATACTGGATTATGACGAAGCTGATGCTTGCACCAGGGCCACGCGCAGACAGCAAGTTTGCGGTGCAAGTTCGGCAGTTCGGCAGGTAAAACCCCTGATGGGGAGTAGACCGGGTCAGGCGGGGTCAGGGTGCGATGCGAGAAAGCACTGTTTTGGGAGGGGTGCGCCGTGCGACGATGCAACATCTTCCGCCTCGTCATGAGAACGTCGCAGAAGTCTTGGCCTGGCAGAACGGGACCGTAAAAAGAAAAGTTGTAATAGCAATCAAAGTACTATTAAGAATAATGAGAGTAGTAATACATGATCATAGTAATCATAATCCCTGTCTTCCGTGGAAGAGGCTTTGGTGTGGAAGCAGTCCTGGCGTCGTGAGAGCGGAGCAGGCGTCTAGAACTGCGTAGGGCAAAGAAGGCCCATGTGACAAACCTGCGGGCATCTCAAAGGATTCACTCAAGCATGACGTTGAGATCGATCACTGACTCTTTGCGCATGCCTCCATCTGTCTGAGCTTGCTCGGTGGCAGCCAACTCGAGGTTTGGCGCCCTGAGTCCTGAGCAGTTTACTACATGGTGATGGATGCAATACCCTGACAGAGCCTGTCTGCAAAGCAAGTCTCAGCCAGAACTGTCCAGAATCAGCAGGACCAAACCTTCTCTCGAATGGCCGCTCTCGCTGCAGCGGCAGGCCACCACCGGATGACCAGAGCATGGCCCGCGCATACCCATGATTCCCTCTACAGCGGCTAAATATGTATCAGTGGAGCAGGGTGAGCTAAACGCCCGTCCTGCTTTTGCACGCGATGTTCGCGTGTCGCATCTCCGAGCCGAAACTCATCACTGGTCATTGTTAACACTGGAGGTTTTGCGCTCAGGGCTTACTTTCGTCGGGCTTAGACCTTTGGGTGTAGAGCTCGTAGGTCCCACGTACTCAGCTTCTCGCCGATCGACTACCCCTCCGAGGAAGGATCTTGTCCTGCCGAAGGTCATCCTCAGAAGAGGCATTGTAGATCAGAAAGGGGTTTGGATGAAGTCCGCGTAAAGGGGACTTTCCAAACTTATCGCTGACGACTCCACGACGCCATCACCAAAGCAACACCCCACCCCCCGCCCCCCGCCAAGCAAACCCATTTGGTGAACTGGAATGTCATGCACCGCCCATGAATTCCATCGTCTGAGTTCGCAACACAACTTGAAGGATTTGGGACACCTGTGTGCCTCGCAGAGACTCACATCACACATTGCACCGCAAACCATGCCCAGAGCAACATTATCCTGCGCCCTACAGACTTACCCCAGACCCTGACATCTACCAGAGCCTATGTTAGCTGCTTCACTGCCTGGCAATCTGATGCAGCCCGATAAATATTCGGATGCAAATGATCGCCCCAAAACATGATCCAACAACCTGCTTCCTGCTTCCTTCCAGCTCACAGTTCCTCTAATTGAGCCGTGGTTGGCGATGGCTGTGATGGTTGTGAAAAATTGACACCTTGACAGGCAAACTGTGACCCTTCCACTACCAGTATCACAACACGGCTGTTGCCGCTTAGCAGAAAGCTCCGCCTTATCATGAAGTAGAGGAGCTCTTTAATGCCGTAGCAACTCGTAACCATTTAAAGTAGAGCTCCTCTCCGCTCACAAGAAAGATGCAAAACCCTTTACTGTAGTGGGTTTTGGGGCTCCGAAGCTCTATGTCGGGGTTTCTCAAGCTGGGAGGAATGATAGATCGCATGAGAGCACCTTCAACTTTGGGATACAAAGACAAGGGCCAACCAAGGTTCTTCTACCCGGACACAATAAATTCCAATCCCCAATGACTTACGAATGACGCTCGCTTATTTGCCCTGCAGCTTCGCGTATACAGTATCTTGTTTGTGTGTTCTTTGCCATAAAAAGGGAAGCTTCCAAACTGTCATACCTTGAGTGATACAAGGAAAGAGCAAGAGGATAGAACGATCTCATTAAGACTGAAATGCAAGACTGGTTGCCCAGACTCGGTGAAATCGAAACAGCCATGAGTGCACTCGCTTGTACGTTCTCAGTGCCACTTTGTCACGCGGTATGCATGCACATGTTGAAAGCCTCAGCACGTTCCTCAAGCTGCCGTCTCGCATACCTCCAGTATGCAGCTTGACGACATTCTGTGACGGAATCGGAAAGGTCGGAAACTCACCTCACCTACATTCAACTTGAGGATGTGAAGTCATAACCCAGCAGCAAGCAGCACAAAGGTAGTTAGAACCACTTAGCCAAGCGACAGCGTCCTGACCGTCTCGTCATTCCGGATTGAACCTGCCAAGATCATGTTGAGGTAAGCTCGGACGGACACGTTTTGGTACATGAAGCCTCCTCCTGCAGAAGTACTCTCTCCTGCTCGCGACGATCAGTCACCTCCCATCACGCCAACAAGACAGCATCCTGAATCTGTCAAGATCTGTCGAGCAAATCGGTCTTCCCTCTGACATGGATTTGAGGAATAATTCGCCACGAAGTACGTGGAAATCGCACCAGCACTTCAGCAGAGCACATGCCATGAAGCACAAACAGAAACTGTGCAACCCAAGCTTCCTCGTTCATGCCCCAGCCGGCCCAACCTGAACGCGGCTCAGAGGCGTTATTGTTTACAGCTACTTGGGCTGGGGTCCTGGGGTCTAAAACAGATTGGCAAGGCCGACCGGATAAGATCAACGCTTAGGGCTGAGGGTGTAGCAAGAGGTGAAGCTTGATAAAAAATGGTGGGCTGCTGTTCACAAGAACGGGCAAGGCCTGGAGAGATGTGCATCTACGTAGATCCAGTACACTCAGCAGATACTGAACCCTGGAGGGATAAATGCCATGCTGAATCGCACATTATCACAGGACTGCGTACCTCCCAAGGCATGTCTCGGAGCAAAGGTCAGCGGTTTTCAAGTGGACATTGCGCGGGCCTTGGCTGCTTCGGCTGCGTGCGCTTGCCATGGACGACGGCACTTCGACTGAGCCTGGCAGCACTGAAACACCATATTAACCCCAGGCAGGACAGGCTCTCTTCATGAACGCAGTACTGCCTGCATCCGGAGCAAACAACTCCAGGCACGCTCGCGCCTGTCTTGAATCCTGCAGCACACAAGACTAGGTCCAGGTCGCTTCATCCAAGCCTTCTTGAGCAAAGCATGCGCTCACTCCACAGGCCTGCCGCCTCGAACACCCACGATAACTGGGTGTGGGGGACGGGGAGCCTGACGCATAAAAAACGAATGTCTCGGTCGAAGGTGAACAAGGGCTGAAGGCGGCCTTCCGATGGTTCGGGCCACGCCAGCGGTGAAGCGTCACGGCGCCCTTCAAGGCTCAGGAATTGAGGCCATCGCGGTGCGAAGTGCGTACGCTGGGCAAGGCATGCACATCTATGCATGCAGTCTGCAACCAAACAATTCCGCTAATTGAGCTCCACGCCACCATGAGGCGACTTTCTCAACCGGGTGAAGCCGTATTCCGCCACTTCGTCCGGAACTGCACCTCGGTCAACTGGCAAAGTCAATGCCCAAATGTCCCCGGACATGGGATCGGTCGAGGCACACGACCCGCCGCGCTTATGTTTGCATTCTCCACCCGTTCTGGCTTTACCGCAAAAGCTCCGTGTGCACTGGCCACATCTGTTGCACCAGTTTCTTCACTTCTTCCACCCGTTTTCTGACTGGGCCGAGCACGGTTGACACTCGCAACAGTTGTTCTCCCCAGACCGGTGCGTGCATGCGGCGAAAACGAATCGAAGCGAGCTTTTTTTCGACAGGTTTATCTTCCACTCGGCAGGCGGCAAAAGCACTAAAAACACGCAGAGAGCCGACAGCCAACTCTCTGGTTTGCAGGCTTTCCAATTCTCAGGTTTGGGCGGCTCTGCCCATGCGGCGATTGGAGTGGGCTGATTGGGCTCACCTCCAGTTGCACTTCAGAGAGGTTGCACCCGATAAGCCCTTTCTTCGACGGTGCCTGTGCCTGTGGCGACACACTTCTTGCCTCGGGGCAGAGGGGTAGCTTTCCAACTGCAGTTCGAAGCTGATGCAGAATTGCTTAGATTGACCTCACGCAAGAAAAGCCTGCAGAACTGACCACGGTCTCAAACTACCTTGACACCAACCGGGGCTTCACAAGCGAGGAGTGGGGAGCCCCCTGAGGCAACATAAGGCCTCCCGAAGGGGTTTCGGGGTCAGGACATCATCAATCAAGTCAGATCACAGTAGCCTAGTTGCATGTTGTACAGGAGCCCATCTATCTGTTGACTACATTCGCTGAAATTGCTCCTGGACGCGCCGTAAAGATTTGTAATTGTGACAAGAGTGACATGCCATCATGTATCCTTCGGACGATCATTCATGCATACTATCATCGCCTTATGGCCAATGGCCTACCGAAAAGAGTGCTCTTTGCCCATGCTTCTCCCTCGCAACGCGCCTTCTGCCCAAGGCAAAGGGGGACCTTAGTGTTCCCGATTTCAGTCGAGTCTACGACAATCCGGAGACTTTCGTGCAGAAGCATCCGAGGATGCAGTCTTCACCATGACTGGGGCATCCGGCTGAGTCGCTGCCTCGGCACAGGCCGCTGCCGCGACGGCCCAGCGCATCACGATGAAGGTCGTGGCAGCCTCACATCATGATATCACATCGTGGTCCGGAATGTCCTGACCGTCTTCGTCGACGCATCTGCGATCAGAGAATCAAGACCATGGGAACTAAGGCAGAAGTGCTGCGGCAATTGCCTGACTGCCCCCTTCATGTCCAAACACACACCCCAAAACAAGAAACCCCGATACACTGCGTAAGCATTCGGAGAGCCCCCCTAAACCTCTCGCGTAAAGACTTGCAAGTCTCGCCTCGATCGCTGGAGGGTTCATCGCCAAGCAGCTCCCAGACAAGACGCGAGTCCTCAAAGCATGTGCACCATGTATGCCATGCATACGAAGACCGGGCTTTATGAAGCAATAGTTGAATCATGTTGCGGCAGGACGGAAGATGAACTGACATCACCCCACGACGGCCAGTCTGCAAGTTGCTCCTCCAAGAAGTGTTTCTTCTGCTTTCGTCGCACAGGCACTCCAACGTCATCGGAGCTATCCATGGCTGCTATTTCTGTATATCCAAGAGCTCTCGTTCACAACTGTCACATGTGACGTGCTTTCCTAGACTCATGACCTTGTCTACTGTCTGCTCTGGTTGGCTTGCAGGGGTATACAAGTTCGATCGTGACGGTGCGGTATTCGCAGTATGCTGATGGATCCGACCAGATTTCCAATTGCAACCGTTCCTGCATTCTTGAAGACCAGCCACCGATATGGAGACAGCTGCACGGAGTTGCACGAGCGGTGCATCACTGCTCCTCATGCCAGTCGAGCCTTCAATCCTCCGCGTGCAAGGAAACGGAAATCATGATGGCCTTGCTTATCCGACAAAGAGGACAAAGAGCCCTGGTGCCGCAAGTCTTCCATTGGCCCTGCTAGCAGAGCGTGAAGGACGTCTCGCTCTCCCTGGGCTGTACCTGCTAGGCTTGCTGGTGTCTGATGCGACAGATTCTCCTTTTCCATATCAGCTCGAGCCTCGACCAGGCGTTGCACCATCGCCAGGTGGCCAAGGCCCGTCGCTACAAGCAAAGGCGTGGATCCACTTTCATCGCTTCTGTTTACGTCGACTCGAGCAGCCATCAATGCTTCCAGTATGGCTATGTGTCCCTGCCGGCAAGCAGCAAGGAGTGGGGTCGTTCCGTTCACATCCGCAATCTCTGGATCGGCTCTGGACTGCAGCAATGCCTTCACTACCGTAGCATGACCATTCGCGCAGGCGGTCCGCAGCGGTGTCGCACCAGTCGCATCTGCCAGGTGCCGCGCATGAACGCTTATCAGAGCGCGAACGATTTCGTAGAATCCAGCTCTGGAGGCCACCAGCAAAGGTGCCTCTTGATGGCGATCAGCCAAATCCACACAAGCACGAGCCTCAATCAAAGCAAGGACGACGTCCAAGTGGCCAGAAGCTACAGCAAGCAGCAATGGGCTGGCTCCAACCAAGTCTCCCCGATCTACATCACCCCCATGGCACGCAAGTTCCTGAACAATATGCACATGGCCATGTTCAGAAGCCGCACCGATGGGGGTGGTGCCGTCACAATTTTCAACATTCGTCTGAGCTTTAGCCTGAAGGAGACATCTTACTGCTTCTAAATGCCCATGAAGCGCAGCCACAAAGAGAGGCGTGTCCTTTACAACCGAGGCTACGTCAGGATCCGCCCTCGCTGCGAGAAGCAGACGTGCAATTTCCGTGCAGCCCATGCGTGCGGCAACCAGCAGGGGACTACGGCGCTTGCGATCCAATTTATCGACGTCGGCCCTTCGGGAGATCAGGAGTTGTGCAATCTCGGCTAAACCGTTTTGCGAGGCTGCATGCAGAGGCGTTTCGCCGTTTCGATCCGCTTTCTGCTCCACTTTGGCTTCCAGCAGCAGACGCACTACGTGCACCGCATCCTTATGCCCGGCCCTTGCAGCGGCCAGGAGCGGTGTTTCTCTGTCCGCAGCTTCTCGATCTGTGTCAGCACCAGCCTCGAGCAAAAGCCGGAAAACCTCGACGGAGCCCTCACGTGCGAAGGCCAACAAAGGCGTCGCTCCGGCAGAGTCCGGGAGATTTTTGTCGGCTCCGGCATGAAGCAGCGCCCTCATTGTGTCCAAGTAGTTCTTTTCCCCGGCCAGTCTTAGCGGGGTCTGTCCATTCGCATCCGGCCGGTCGGGTTCTGCCCTTGCTTCGAGCAAGAGCTGGGTGATGGCGAGGAAGCCGTGGGAAGAGGCATGGAGCAGAGGGGTCAAGCCTGTCAAAGCTTCCACGTTTGGATCTTGGGACTGCTCGAGCAATTCTTTCACCTGCAAGTGCGAGTTCTTCCTCACAGCTGCCCAGAGATCCTTTGTCCAATCCCGAGATAAAGTCAAGACGACCAGCTGAAGTTCCTTCATGCTCCCATCCCATAAATCTGCGTCCTGAAGCATGCGGCCCTCCACGAGCAGCTTCTGTCGAAAGCTCGGCACACCGATCAGAGGAGCCAAATGTCGCCTCACCGCTCTGTTGAAACCACCATGCACCTCTATGAGTGTGCTCAAATCCTTCGTGTCGAAAGCGGCGATCTGGGTCCCGGCCACCGTGCAGACTCGAGCCATCTGGATCTATGTAATTACATTGGAGATGCTGTGAGGCATTTCCTGGAGCCCGAACACAGCCGCGCATGTCTCTGTTCTTCCAGGACATTTAAAAGCGTGGCAAGCAACCCGAACTGGCACATCTTTTGACATCTTCGAACCCGCCACGGTCCATGCCACCTCTGGCTGCGCCTGGTCGAACCAAGGCTATGAAGGTGCCTCTGCTACTCGTGGCATGTGCCAAAAAATAAACGCGCCTCATTTTGGAGGATCTTGCGAAGCTCCGGTGGACCTGTCGGGTGCTCTGGAGCAGAAGAGTCTCAGAGAACTGCTCAGAGAAGCCTTCTGGAACCTGCACCGCGAGCAGGGCCACTTCTCTCAGCCTTTGTTGAAAGCTTAAACGGCTCCGGGGAGTTGCGCGAGGCTCGGCGCAAGGCTTGAAATCCCAACCATGCTTCGCCGCACCTGAGAGACAAAGAGGCTTAGCCTCATGGATAAGGATAAGGAGGAGGAGGAGGAGGAGGCCTGCAACGCTTGGTCTTGAATGTGGGCTCCTGGCTCTGACGTTCCTGACGCCCCCTCACACGCTTCTCAAATGCCTCTCACAGGTTCACAAGAGAAGGCTACGACGACGAAGCGGCACGCTTGAGCTGCTGCCGTTCCAGAAAGTTGGCCTCTTGTTCATCTTGACGACGACGCTTCCGCTGATTCAGGGTCTCCTGGCAACTCGTGAAACCCGCTGAGGCCGACCGCTTCCAGGTGTCTGGACCCCTCCAACCCGGCGTTCGACGATGCTGCATCGGCTTGAGGCCAGTGCGCATTGCCCGATTTCCCCCAATGAAAGTGCGACAGCTCAGGTTTCGAGACAGCACAGCCTAGCGGAGCTTCAAGAATCCGCTGCTGGATGTTGCTAGGTGGGTTTCTGGACTCAGTGTCGTTTCAGGATGCAGTCTTGATGACCATGGGTTCGGGTCACGCAGCATCAATCTTGCCAGTGCATGAGAGCTCTCTTGAATCCGCTGCTCAAAAGCTGTCCTGCGTACTCTGCAGCACGGACTGCATCTCTTGTGGCAAGGACAGAACCTGAGTCTGAGATACCCGCCATGGCCCAAAGCATGGCAATCTCTCAGGCTCAAACATCCTTGCTCGTCAGCCCAAACATCGCCCCGGAGCCCTGCCGAAATTGCCATAGCATGCTGGTATGCCATTTCGGAACCCCCACGCAGATGTCAATGCAAGTGACTGCAACAGAAGGTGAGCCCAAGAGGTGCCTCCTCACAGGATGCGGCATCCGAGTCTGACATCCGCAGCTGGAAGGATGCCTCCTGTCACCGGAGACGATACGGGACCCCGTTGGGTGATTCACCATCGTGTCACATCCCTCAGAATAGACGAGACCTCGTCCGACATGGTACCGGCCGGGCGGCTAGACGATCTTCATGGCCGGCAAGGCTGCTGACAGATGGTTTGGTGTCCAGAACTTTCGTAAAGCGTTCCGTGAGCAAAGAGGTCTCTCTCAGCTACTTTGCGAACCTCAGAACATGTTATCGATCACTTCTCAATTTTGGAACGCAAAAGTGCTCTGTGACGAGATTCTCTGCTCCTGTGGGCGTTTCAGAAAACGGAGGACCCTCATGTAGCACTCTACATAGTAGGATCCGCACTCTGAAGGCGTACCCATTCTCGAAGTCCTGTCTGTCTCACTATCTGTATTCACCCCTGCGTGCTGCGAGTCCCTGCCCCAGATCAGAAATGGCAACGATGGAGTTTGCTTTGAACTGGCACACCCAGCAAACAAAGGGGCCTGAATGAGTAGACTGTGGTCTTGGTGGTAAAGTATACTATAACTATATACGCACCAAATTTGGAGATACTATGATTAGTTATTCAGACCCGCATGTATCCTGATATGCAGCTCGAGCTGATGGACTACACAAGTAACTTGGATCTAAGATGGACTTGCAGTGTCTTGAGCAATTTCGCTACTCGATGGTCGAGCTCAACTTGATTTTGCCACGGGGCCGTGGTCGTTCACGTGGCTCGTGGTTAATCTGTCCGAGTAAGGGCTCAGGCTCAGGCACCAACAAGCTTCAAGTTGATTGTTTTAGGCTAAGTGTCGGCTGTTTTCTGGCCCTTCGAAGGCACGGACACTGCTAGAAATGGAAGCAGGAAGACATGTGATGTAATATTATATATGGCAATATAGTCATAATACTGGTCAATAACAATACTAACAATATAACAATAGAAATATAGCTACAAGGCTACAACATAAGATGATGTTCCGACGTACTAGGGCTCAACGTCCCAGGGTTTTCACCTTGCCGAACCATAGACTACGGACTGAAATCGTAGGACCCCGCAGATTGGGCGTAGTGCGCACACTTCAGCACGAGTCTCGCAAGATCACAAAACAAGCTATCTAGTGATAAGCAGGTTTGCACAGACAGCCGTTTTGAAGGTCGCCGGATGCAGTCAGAAGACAAACATCGTCTCGGTGTGCTGCGTGGCAGGTAATCTGCCACTACCTCCGCGCACGAGCTGACCGCTTGCCTTGGCACCCAACAGCCCCCGGTGTCCGTCCCCTGGCATCTTGAAACCTGGAAACCTGAAAGCTTCTAAAGACGAGCTTAGTTACGCTGACAGGAAAACCTGCCTGAGCCAAAGCCTCCTTAACTTTAGCTTGGCCTGGCAACAGACGATGCCCGGACGACCACACGTTCGTTAGAATCGCAGTGCGCAAACGAAGCATACTGGCGGAGATGGCAGAAGGAAGCAGAAAAAGTAGTGTACTTAGTAATTCCAGCATGAAGTAGTGAAAGGACTCTGATAAGCAACCTGCCAGCCAGCAGTCGGCTGCAATTCTTACGTCGCCTTGATCTGCACAGATGTTGACGAAATAGTTTTGTCGTGCTGGGTAGAACGGCGCAGCACATGCTGCAATGCTCTGCTTCAAAGGAAGGTGCTCTCCAATCATGTCGAAAACCGATCCCCTGAACCCTAAGAACCCAAATGTGGAACCCCGAAACTCGGCTTCCTTCAGATGAGGTGCCGGTCGACGACTTCGGTCTCGAGCGCGGTACCTGTCAGCAGAAAATGTGCTTCCAAACTCGAAAACCCAGAAAGTCACAAGACTCAATAGGACTTAACAACGGTTCGTGTAGCTGTGCTGTCGGAAAAAATCTGCTCTGCTTCATCCTTGGATGAAAGCCTTCGCTGCTCGAACTCCATATGGCACTCCTTCAGGTAGGTCCTCCTGGCAAAGTGACGCGCCGGCACGAACAGCACAGAGGAGAGAGAGAGAGAGAGAGAGAGAGGAGACGTCGGACTGGCCGACGCAAGCACCTCAACTTTGTCTCGACGGAAAGACTTTGTCTCCATACCTTGCTGCGGCAGATGAATCTGACCAGCAGGGGGATACATTCCAATCCGCATCACAACCAAGATCCGGGCGGTCCACATAGAGCACACCATTCAGCATGTCAACTGCATGCTGAATTTGCCTTGCCTGGACTCGTGTTGCGCACCAAGCTTACAAAGAAGGGCAGCTAGCACAACAAGTGGTTACATGAAAAGATTTCCCGGAAAATGATTCCCCTGATTCCCCTGTCTGCTGGTACAATCCAACATAGTACAGCACGACATCCATCCTTCCATCCAGGCATCCAGGCATCCAGGCATCCAGGCATCCAGGCATCCAGGCATCCAGGCATCCAGGCATCCAGGCATCCAGGCATCCAGGCAGGCAGCCATACATTCATCCGTCCCTCCATCCGTCCATCCCTCCCTCCATCCTTCCATCCTTCCATGCATGCAGGCACACATAAGTACATACTCAAGTCCAGCCATGCATGCATGCACACATACGCACCTACATACACACATACATAAGTACATACAGACATACTATAAACACCTGCACACGGTAAGAGAATCATACGAATGCGCATGTGTGCATGCCTCTACATACATCCGCTCCTTCGGGCAACATGTGATAGGTTCACGAAGAACCGTGCAGGCAACAGATGAACAACTCCTTGGACCGCCAATTGCTGCTGCGGCCTCTCGAGTGCACGAAGATTCTACCCCTCCCCCCACAGATGCCTGCCAGCCTTTGGCCATGAAGCTCACCGCCCGACCTTCTTCGCTGAAGGCCTTTACCTCCACCTTGCAAGCAAATCTAACTGACACGAGCCAAGAACTAATTCTGCCATCAGGCTACTCTCAGCAAGGCTCAACTCAGGCCTCAAGCGAGACGCAAGAGATATGGACGAGCTCAGACGGCAGAAGCGCGGGGAGACCAGAGGACGGACGGCAACAAAATGTCCAAACCAGACAACGCATCCCGGGGCGGTGGGGCGGGGTGGGGCGGTGGTGGGGCGGTGGTGGGGCGGTGGGGCGGGAGCGGACTACAGTCTGATCATCCTACCGTTCTCTGCACGCAATCCGAAGTCTCGGAGTTGCAGGTCGAGTCCAGTATGCGCAGCACGAGACACGCAGACAAGGCCTACGTGCACCGCGCCTCAAGCGGCCGTCCAACCACTGCTTCGTATCCGGGCACAGAAGCTGACCTGGCCGTTGTCTCGTCATGCATCAATGAGCCCACGAGCCTAGCATAAAGGAATCTTGGTGATCGGCACAAGAGGGCTGAACTGGCTGGGAGCCGGAACGCTGGCATGTGCAGCTCATTTTTCTCAATTGCAGCTTCACCGCCGAGCTGCTCGGTCTGCACAAGATGAAAACTGGATAGCAAGATGTGAAGAGCAGGCCATCGAAAATTCATCGAAAACTTCAGCAACTAGATGTGGCTGCACGCAGATGCGCGCAGGGCATGGTGCAATGACGAGTCCGGCAGAGCTCCGGCATGCCGCAGAATATCAACCGAGAATGCTCGGGAGTTGGCAAAAAAGGAAGCAGCCGGCTGTTGCTGCTTGCGCCGCCGATTCCAAAGCAGTTAGAAACATTTTTCTCGCTGCACCACCTGCCTAGTTTGCAGCTTATGTACGACTGCACTTCTAGCAGGATGGCGCCAACTCCGGAGACCAAGAAAAGTCGCGCAACCGAAGATAGTCTGATCTCCTCCTTTGAGACACTGCGGGCGTCGTCAAAGCGCTGCGATCAATTTCCTCGGCTGGAGCTCCGGGTCGCCGGGGTTGCAATCAGAGTATGCCTTTGGTCTAGACGTCGTCGTCGTCCAATTGTGAAGGGACTATAACCTTGCTTAGCCTACTGCTGATGCTCCTCTGATGAACATTCATATAGAGCTTTCTTGAGATGGCTATGTTGGAAGTCTTTTAAGCCGCTGCACCGCCACTCGGAGCAATAGAACGACAAACCTCTGACGCTGACCGTATTTCTGGATTGCTGCGGATGAAACTCAACATACTTGCTTGTTGCGATTTTAACCCTTTCCAGTTCATCGAGAGTTCGAGAGCTTGATAATATTGCCATGATTCTCGACAACTGATGGCCATAAGCACGAATGATAGAAGCAGTAGCGTCACTAGTCTTCCGACAGGTTTCAATCATCGGCTCTGATACTGTAGCGAAGCTATTGCAGATCGAGTTGTTGGTGCTGTGGTCTTCTTCTGCTGACCATCATCGCAGCATGGTTGCACTTAAGCAGCAACAACAACGACAACCGTGGACCGTGGAAGTAGGATCGGTACAATAACAGGACAGGACTTCGCGACTGAGCAGATGCAACATGACGAGCGCAACAGAGCCTAGCGGCCCCAGTTCTCCACGCAAACGCCTCGCCGCGTTGAGGGACATATCCCGGGGAACTCCTGCAAGGAAGGTGTTGCTATGCCAAATCCGCCGACCCTGGCGGCGTGTTGGATGGGTCTCGATGGGTTTGGAGGTGTTAACCTCCGGGGGGGGGGGGGGGACCCCATGGCTGTTTGCAAGCAGCACCCAAGCCCCCAGAAGCATCACACCGCAGCCCATTGGGTTCAAATCAGTTCACTGTAGGAGACCATCAATTTTTTTCGCCTCCCCTCCCCTCCTCCCCCCTCCTCCCCCCCCCCCCCTCCCCGCTACCCTACCCCCCCGCCCCCCCCCCTCCCCCCCTCCCCCCCCCCCCCTCCCCTCCCCCCCCTGAGATGTAACCTGGACGTGTATCCCCTCGCTAGGCGTACAGGAACACAGGCACTCAGGTGTCTCTTTTCTACAGGCGCACAGCTGTAGTCCACTGCACTAGAACCTTGAGCAACAGGCATGGATACATGCAAGTGATACGTGAAACAGACAGGCACCTGGATGTGTAACATTCAGTGTTTCAACCAGGCACAAATTTAAAACACGTAGAGCTGCATGGCCGTGGAGTCGGCAATCTACAAGCCTGTTATTGCTCTTGGTCGAATTAGCGGAGTATTGAGCTACATCTGCGACTTGAAGAGAATCTATACATCTCTAGCCTGAAGACAGCTTCAATGAAAAGAGCAGAACACGCACGAAACGCAAACGGATCTTCAACTGAAAACTTTTGCTTGAAAGTTGCCCACTTGTGTTTCAGTTCCCTCTCCAGGCGGAAAGCATACTGTAACATAAAGGTGTAAAGCTTAGCTTTACTTGATGCCAGCATGACATCTTGCGGCAAGGCAAATATATAAGGGCATTAGAAGTATCTTATCCTGAGATAAGTATCTTCCTTTGAGAAAGAGTTCTTTAGGAAGTACCTTTTCCTGAGAAAAGCATCTCCCTATGAAATGGCGAATGCTCAAAGTGGATACCTTCTTATGAAAGAAGCATTCCGTGAAACACACAGCCAGTTCAGTCGACGAACTCTAGGTCTGCATCCCAGGTTCTATCACGCCAATGATCCTCACCATGCCAACGGTAGATGTCGACAGTGTGAATCGGCATCACCGGCTGATGACGAACAGGGTCGTAACCGCGGGGATCAGCAGGGGATCTAGGTAGCGATATCTGTGGATCTGGAGCAACGTCTCCAACTTGTTCCAAAGGAACTTCTTCAGAACCATTGTCCATATCCACGTCCGAAGAATCGGAACCTAGTCAGTTCTTCCCCTTGTTCTTGCCCTTGGACTTGTCCTTGTCGGCGTCCTTCCCTTTTCCTTTGGAGGACTTGCCTCCTTTGCCGCCTTCTTTGCCACCAGGAGGTTGTGCGGGTTCTGGAGGACGTTGAGAACCAGAAGCTTTAGCACCAGAAGCTGCCTCTTCCTGAGAAGAGCTTGCTCCCTGTGGTGCGGCTGCAGGACCAGTAGAACCAGAACCACGCGCCTTGTTCAGCTTCTGTCTCTCTTTTCTTCTGTCCGCGGCTTCCTTCATGGTGTCGGGATTGCGGTTGAGCGCTCTCATCCTGCCTCCAGAGTACTGGTTCGCGTGAACCTCGATGAGGAGCGGAGTGTGAGCGTCATAGTCCCGATCGTTGAGAAGGTACGCGGCGCTGGTGGAGTTTAACAGCCACTCAGAGACATGGATGTCGAACTCAGTCTTTGAAGACGGAAACTCCGCCCATTGATCGTCCGACATGCTGTGTCCCCATTCCATGACTGTAGCCATAACAGGATCCAAACCAGGAAAGGTATTCCAGTCTGGTTGCTTAGCTTCCTTGTATGGCATTCCCAGCGTGTCCTCATACTGTTTCAGAAGCCACATGGCGTTTGCTGACACATGTCTCGCACGAGGCGAACAGAGGTGTGGGCACTTTGGGCTTTCTGACCATGCCTCCAAGAAGTAGTCGAGAAGGCTTTGGTACATCCCGCCACGAATATCCATCGACTCCTGCTTTCTGCCGGTGGCCCGGTAGAGGGCCATGTTGGCGTCGCCACCGATGAGGTCGACTTGGTAGTGCAGGCAGTCGATGAACATGTTGCCCAACACTTCATGAGCCAACGCCACCTTGTCTGCCGCCGCGTCGTTGTGGAGGTGGAAGACACAAACTCTCAGCCGGTCGGATCCAGCTCGCTCCAAGACCTTGGTCAGTGACTCATCTGGAACATCACCACGACTGCCCTGGAGACCGGTCGGTAACGTCATGCCATACACGATTTCCGCGACCATATAGGTTATTGGAAGGGACTCGTGGGCATATCCACTGAGAGTGGAGCCGGCAAGACGTGTGATCGAAGATCCGACACCATTTGTACGACTTCCCACCATCAGGTCCTTGGACTCGTTACGAAGGAATTGCCAACCGCGTGACTTGAGGAAGGCCTCTTCGGAGTCATCGATCTTAGCCGCTTCGCAGAGCATGAACAAATGCGTCTTCGACTGTGCAATCGATTTTATCAAGGCTCCTTTAGATGGTGTAGCATCGTCCCAGTCAATGTGATCAGCAACGGAGCGAGGAGCGGTACGCTTTCTTCCCCTGCTCATGTTGCCGAGATTGAGGATGAGCGCGGCATACTTGGTCTTGCTGGTGAAGATAGGGACATTGGAGTCCTCTGCTAGACCAAAACGATGAATATAAGGATTCGGCGTCTTCTCAAGAGAGAGGTCCTCGATCTCCTCTTCATCGACTCCGGCGCTCAAGAAGTAGTGAATCATAGCATTCAAAAGTTCTTCTCGAGTTGCCGGATTGCCGCTTGCATCCAGGGACTTCAGCTTATCAAGAAGTGCTTCCATGACTTCCAGTGCTGATTCTCGGATGTCAGAGGCCTTGCCCATGAGCTTGTCGTCCAAGGTGCTACGAACGTCCCCAGAACGAAAAGCAACGTTCTTCTTGTCGGGACGACGCTCATAGATGGGATCCATCTTGTTGAGTTGGTCGAATAGATCCACCATAGAGAGAGAGTATTTCTGTCCCTTGTGGTTTGGAACATTTACCCTCCAACTCATATGCTGCACCTTGTAGGCGAGAACGGGCTCGTAATCAGGATCACGAAGTCCTGTATGATACAAGCCTGAATAGCCATATCCATGCAGCTGCTTGCAGAGCATCCGCATAGGGCTTTGTCGTTCGATTTCGGTGAGCTGCGTAAGGAAATGTTTGAACTCTTCGAGATCGACGAGCTCGATCTTTTCCTTTGCTTTGCCCATCTTGTCGAACGCGTTCTCATTCTGGTCCTCTGCATCCTTCGCGGCCTGGTAGTACTCAGGATCCGGAACAGTCTTGCATTTCCCCCAGATGCCTTGATCGTGAAGTTCACTTTCATCATCCTTCTCGGGAGAAATGTCTGGCATGGATTCCTCACCCTGTGGTGAGCCTTCCTCAGCCATTTCGACGTTCTCGGACTTACCTCCTTCCTGACCCATGTGCGCATCAGGTTCGACCTTCACCTCGGATGCCTCTCCCTGTGGAGAGCTTTCCGTGGCTTCGGTCTTCTGTTGTGGAACATCCACCCCAGATGCCTCCCCATGTGGAGAGCTTTCCGGAGCGTCCGTCTCCATTGGCTCGACAGTAACCCCAGATGCCTCTCCCTGTGGAGAGCTTTCTGGAGCTTCAGTCTCCATTGGCACATCGGTCGGCTCGGTCTTAACCGGATCAACCTTCTTGCCTTGTGGCAAGTCCGTGGATCCAGACGACGGTTCGGAGGTATCCATCTGAGTAGCCGCGGGAGGCTCCTCGATCTCCTCGATCTGTGGACATGGGAGTCGCTCGATGAACTCCTCGATCATAATGTCGTCGTATGGTCGAGTGAGGAGCTCATTCAGCTCAGACTCCTTCTTCGCCTTCAAGTCTTCGTACGCCACTAAATCAGCTTTTGCCTTGCGGGCGAAAGCCGACTTGAAATCGCGCTGGTCAGACTCAGCGAAGACTTTCTCCAGAACCGCCAGGAGGTAGCTGCCGTTGAACGGCTGCTTCAGGGTACTGTC